ACACACACACACACACACACACACACACACACACACACACTGAGAGCTTCTCAGACGATCAGAAAGTAGTCCATAGTGAATGATCATTCACAGACATCCAATCTTTTTCTGCTTTTCCCTCATATGTGCTACACCACGTCTCCAGTGAACCTTTGGGTTGATAGACACATGACCATAAGTGGCTGCTGCTTTCGATTGACAGCTGTCAGGATAAATGAACATTAATCACTTCATTAATGTATACTTAGTTTGTAACTTTTTTTTTGGTGTGACAGCATCATGATTGAAACGTTAGCAACTTTGTTGGATCTTTCTGTTCCCATCAATCTAATCAAGTGCAGAATGAAACCGTGTCTGATGTTTTTGTATGTATGTTAAAGGTCCATATGGGAAAAAGTGTTTTGTAATGTTTTCTTAGAGGACAGGAAACTTAATTGTTGTGAGAGAGCCCCACATTATGCTTTCAAATATTTGTATACTTGGCCATTTTTCCCTCAGTATTACAATCCTTTTTTTTCCGGTTTGCTGTTGTTTCTTTTTTTTAAATTATGTCCACTTAGAAAATTATTTTAGATGCCTTTTTTTTCTAATTTTGGGGTTAGAGAAAGTCTATTCTCGTGGTTGCAGAGGCATTCCCAGAGAGTAATTCCCAAAGGGAATAGTTGGACATTGAGCAGAAAACTTAAAAACAAAACTGCTTTTACTTTGTTTGTATTTTGACTTCGCTGTTTTATTCTAATTGCTAATCAAGCAATGAAAGGTGAATCATTTCTCAGTACTGACGTCTATCATTTAGGAGTAGACTGCAAACCTCCACATACTTTTTTTTTTTTTTAATCTTATTTTGAAAGCCTCTAGCCCTTCCCTTCTCTTGTTTCCCCACTGGCTGACTCACCGGTCATGTTCTTATCATGGCGATTGTCATTATCATTCAGTTGCTTTCCCAGAGGCAATCTAGTCCCGTCCTGCAGTGGGGCATACTCTTGACTCCTCCATTTTTGACAGCAGCAGAAAGGGTACACTGCAAATACAGTTCACAGCCAAACTTTCTTTGCATTAGCTGGCTTGACAAAGCCTAAAAACCCAGGAAAGCACAACAGTGTTGTAAATAAGACAAAAGATGAATGCTGCAGAAAACGGTTAATCTCACACAGAGCGCTAACATAAATGTTTTAATTCCAGTTAAATTGCTGCTGTTGAATTGTAAGGTGACAGCTGGACATTAGATTTCTAAAACTTTAAACTGGATTCATTCAGA